CCAGAATTTATCTAAGTCAAAGACCACAGCTAGCAACTCTTTCTCGGTGGTAGTATAATTCAATTGTGCATCCGAGAGAGTGCGACTAGCACAGTATATAACAAATGGTGCCTTATTGACCCTTTGGCCCAACACAGCCCCGACAGTATAATCGAAGGCATCACACATGATTTCAAAGGGAAGTGACCAATCTGGTGATTTCATGATTGGGACACACCTCATCAAAGATAAAAGGCGCATCCTTAACCAGTAAACTACACAAAGGACGTGATATCTTACTAAAGTCTTTGATGAACCTACGGTAAAAACCTACATGCCCTAAGAAAGACCTAATTTGACGCACGGAATTGGGCGGAGGAAGGCCTGCAATGAGGTCAACCTTAGCCTTGTCTACCTCTATACCTCGAGAGGACATAATGTGTCCCAACACTATATCCTCACGAACCTTAAAATGGCTCTTTTCCCAACTCAAAATTAGGTTTGCCTCAGTGCATCGTTCCACCAACACTCCAGTCAAGTTCCTAAGGCATTCCTCAAAAGACGGTCCAAACACCGAAAAATCATCCATGAAAACCTCTAAGAATTTCTCCACCATATCGGAGAAAATGGCCATCACACACCGTTGAAAAGTCGCCGATGCATTACATAGCCCAAAGGGCATGTGCCTGTAAGCAAAAGTGCCAAAAGGGCATGTGAATGTGGTCTTTTCCTAGTCAGCAGGGTACACCAGGACTTGATTATACCCCGAATAGCCATCAAGAAAACAGTAGAAACCCTGCCCCGCTAACCGCTCTAGGATCTGGTCAATGAAAGGTAAGGGAAAATGATCCTTCCTAGTTGAGGAATTCAGTCTCCTATAATCAATGCACACTCGCCACCCAGTAGTGGTTCGTGTGGGGACTAACTTTCCTCTCTCATTCTCAACAACAGTGATGCCCGATTTCTTGGGTACAAGTGGGACTCACCCACTTGCTATCCGAGATGGGGTATATAATACCCGCATCCAACAATTTCAATACCTCCTTTTTCACCACCTCTTTCATATTAGGATTTAGTCTCCGTTGCATTTCACGAGAAGGTTTGGTGTCCTCTAGGTGTATATAATGCATGCACACGAAGGGATCTATCCCTTTCAAATCAGCCACTGACCACCCTAAAGCACTTCGATGTGCCACGAGAACACTCATTAACTAACTCTCCTGCTCTATAGTCAAGTCAGATGCAATAATGACTGGTAAAGTATCCTGGGGCCCTAAAAATGCATACTTGAGTGTGGCCGGGAGTGGCTTCAACTCAAGTGTAGGTGGTGTGACCAAAGATGGTATGGCAAGCTCTCTCGACAGAAGAGGAAGTGACTCAAACCGAGCTTTCCATGGAGGAAAATCCGGTGCAGAAAAAGCATTAAGCAAGACATTCACCTCCTCAACTGACCCATCAATATCAAAATTTTCAAACCTAAAATGAGCTAGACAAGCCTCTAAAGGGTCCTCTACAAGAATGGAGGGCAAAACTTCCTCCACAATCTCATCCACAACATCCACAAATAAGTACTCCTCTCTCTCATGGGGTTGTATGGATGCTTGGAAAACATTAAGTTTCACTTGCATGTTACCAAATAAAACTTCCATAACCCCGGTCCGACAATTAATGCATGCATTGGCCGTAGCCAAGAAAGGTCGGCCTAAGATTATCGGGATTTGCCAAGAAAGGCTACCGGTTCCATATCTAAAACCAAAAAGTCGACAGGAAAATAAAACCTATTGACCTTCACTAGTACATCCTCAATCATGCCACGTGGCACTTTGAGGGAGCGGTCAGCCAACTGAAGAGTGACAGTAGTGGGCTTTAACTCGCCAAGCCCAAATTCCTCGTACTCTGTGTACGGCAACAAATTGACACTAGCCCCTAAATCTAACAAGGCCCTATCAATGAAATGGTCCCCTATAATGCATGCAATGGTTGGGGCACCTGGGTCCTTAAGCTTAGGAGGTGTGTCATTCAACAAGATGGAGCTTACTTGCTCTGTAAGTAGGACCTTTTGGGACACGTGTCCCCTAGATTTACGCTTTTACGTACAAAGATCCTTTAGAAATTTGGCATAGGAGGGTACTTGCTTAATCGCCTCCAACAGGGAGAGGTTGATTTTTACCTGTTTAAAGACCTCCATCATTGCTTCCATAGATGCTGCCTTTCATTAAAAGGGGACAGTGTATCAAGGCATTAGGGAAAGGGTGCCTTAGGCTCATGTAAAGCGTTAGGGACTAAGTCATCCCTTTTAAGTGTTTTCCCATCACCCTTGCTCTCATTGGGTGTACCACCGTAGTCACCCTTCTTAGCTCTAGTTGCATCAAACGCAACTGACTGAGCCTCTAACTCCCTCCCACTTCTCAAACTAATCACTGCTTGCACCTGCTCATGGTGCTTTCCATTCCCACCCGAACTCTCTGCCCCGTATTGTCCCTTAGGGTTGCCCACAGTTTGACTTGGTAATTTTCCCTCCCCTCATCGATTCATGTTGTTAGTCATTTGACCCAATTGGGCCTCTAGCTTGGCAACAGAGTGAGTGTTGGGAGTGAACTACCGGTGCTAACCCCTTAAGTTCTGAGAGAACTTCCAACACCTGAGTCTCAAAGGCAGAGTTGCCCTGAGGAACAGGCAGGGGTTGTGGTTGTCGGTACGGTTGTGGGGGTCGATAAGGTTGCGGTGGTCGGTAGGATGATTGGTTGGAAAAATTATTAAAATTCTGCCTTGGTGGTGGAAGATTGTAAGAAGTGCCTTGTGAAGGGGGTCTCCATGAAAAATTAGGGTGATTTCTCCATCCCGGATTATATGTATTGGAGTATGGATCATTACCCGGGTTGGAGAATCCTTGAGCCGCATTCACATGCTCTTGGACTAACTCCGGAAATTGTGATGCCGAAGGGTACTCACTCATGTCATGAGTAGGGCTCGCACATATAACACATGCCTCGTGAAATTGAGACTGATCTTGCTGGGTAGGGACATGTCCTGCAGCTAATAATTGGTCCATTTTGTGGGACAGTGCCTCTACTTGTTGGGCTAACTCTAGATTTTGCCCGACCTCATAAATGCCCCCTCTTTTCGGGGCTCCAACTACTGGTTGCCGGACTTGCCGGGCTGCGAAGGCATGGTGAAGGGAATTATCACTTAAGTTCTCAAACAATTGCCATGCCTCAGCATCATTTTTGGACATGAATGTCCCACCCAAGGATGAGTCCACCATTTGGCGTGCGGCTTAGTTAAACCATAATAAAATGTTTGAACAAGTTGCCAATCAGGCACTTGGTGGTGGGGACACTGTTGGAGAAGGTCTCGAAGTCTTTCCCACGTCTCATGGAATTGCTCGCCATCCATTTGAGCAAAGTTTGTGATGGCTCGCCTAAGTTGGTTGGTTTTACCTATGAGAAAGTACTTCTCCCAAAACCGTCGTTGTAATTGGTCCCAAGTTGTGATTGAATTAACAGGTAAGGAATTCAACCAGTGTTTGACTTTATCCTTTAATGAGAATGGAAACAATCGCAACATTAAGGCCTCATTTGTGAAATTCTGGATCCTCACTGTCGAGCAAATTTCCAGAAATTCATTCAAATATTTGTAAGGATCATCATGAGTTAGTCCATGGAATGATGAAAGCATTTGTATGGTGTTGGACTTAATCTCATAATGAGTAGTAATGGTGTTGGGTAATTCGATACATGACGGTGATGTATATGCAGTGGGTGTGAAGTAATCCTTAAGGGTCCAGTTAGGCACATTCGGGACATCTGGATCTGCCATCTCTAATGGCTCAATGTATGAATATGAATACTCAAGCCTAGGAAAACGGGCAGAGGCCCTAAGTCTTCGAAGAGTCCTTCTAGTTCAAGGTCCAAACTCCACAATTCAGGGCAACAAGAACGACGCCCGTGCATATACTACCCACACACGCAAAAAGTTCAGACTCTGTGAACTAAATTATGAAAGCAAAATACCAAAGGGAGAAATACTCACAACGGTTTAACGAAAATGCTTTACTCGTCTTGCGGGTGCTTGACGTGTAGACGTTGTCTCCAACCTCTAATTGAGCTTCGTCTTCTTTTTTAGCACTTTGGTGCTTTGCTTGCGAGTGTTGCTTCTGTTTACGCATTTTAGTGCTGCGGTTTTTTATTTTTATTTTTATTTTTAAAGCTCGGTTGCGCTCCGCTTGCACTTCGGTGATAGCTCCAATTTCAAACGCTCTACACACTTAACAACACGAAAGCATAAAATCCTAAACTAAAAATTAAAATAAGAATATAACTTTAAATTAACTAATTTCGCCAGAAGTCCCCGGCAATGGCGCCAAAATTTGATGGGTCTTTGAACACACCAAAATTAAACACTAAACTATACCAAATTCTTTTAGAATGATGGCAAGTCCAGATATCGATCCACAAGGACAATTGTGAAATTAAATTAATTTAATTGATAAATTCCTAAATTAATTTTGATGAAAAGAATGATTGATCATAACCTAATTTAATAACGAATAAATTAAACTAAATAATTAAATTATCAATTATAACTGAAAATGGATTTACTAAATTGGGAAAAAACCTAGGGCGAAGAGTCCACCACTAGTCACGTAAATAGGGTTTCAAATTGAAAACAATTATGTTATGGTTCGAACGAAATAATGCTTCGTAACTACAAGTTCAAAACATTTAACAAGAAAATCATCACGTTCAATGTACGAGCACGAATCATCTCAAGTAGTATGAATCGTTTACTCTAAACTAAGGTAGTGATACGACTCGTCTCTCATAGTATGATTCGTCTCATACCTTGAATGTGAAAGAATAGAAAACTATTGTATGAAAAACATTCAACAATCACAGAAAGCCGAATATTTGAAGAAATAATGGAAAATATATATATAAAACTTCTAAAACACCATACAAGTGTTCAAATCTTTACATAATTGAAAATCAAAAAGAAAAACCTATTACATGGCTATGGTTTCATCAAAACCTTAGAAAAGGAGACTAGCCACTCATGGAGGAGTGGAAGGAGGTAGATGGAGAAGAAGCCACCATGGGAGACATGCTTGAAGCTACAAGTTCCTCTTCTTTTCAAACCCTAGCCTCCTTTTCTTGACAAAACAACTCCAGAACCCTAATCCAGCATTTTTCTTGCCTATTTATACTTCTGGTGTCTTTCCAAACAGGTTTAAAACGTCTGGCACATTTTTCTAGAAAAAGTCAACGCACGTGCGGGAAAGTCAACGCACATGCAGACAAAGTCAACTCTCTCCAAATTCTGTCTTTTTGCCCATTTTATGCTCCGACTATGTACAACCTGATTGACATTCAACACACAAAGTATACATTTTGGCAAGCAAGTGAAGTTAAGAGATCCTAATTAACGGCCTCAATGATGTACAATTTGGCCTTAATCATATATATATATATATATATTCTAAGAAAAGAACAAGCACATCGAAATCATCGATCTCTCACATTTTGTTGCTATTTTAGACTTAAAGTTGAAATGATCATTCATCAACTTCAGTTCATCACTCCTAGCAAATAACTCTAGCTAAAAATAAAATGATAATAATAATAATGATAAATCCATTCATTATGGAGTTTAGGTTTCTCTTTCATCTTTTCCAAGGAAATAGATGATTCTGATTCACTGACTTGTGCAATTAATCCTGGTTAAGAATATCAGCGTAACATGTTGATATAGTGATCTTGAATAGAATTGACTTAACCTATATTAAATCTCCCCTCTAGCACGACTTTAAGAGCACCATATGCATATTTCATCGTAAAATTTATAATTATATACATGTTTATGTCGATACTTCCAGCTATATTAGAACAAAATGAAAGGTGAGTTAGTTATAGTATATATGATTCTCTATAGTTAAATCTCTATATCTTATAGTATCTATATGGTTGCAAATTAGTAAAATTTTTAATACTCTAATGGTCGTGAGTATAGGGACAGCAAAATAAAAATATTCTTAGTCTAATTCTAGTGATTTGAGGTCAGAGCCACCACCATTGTGTTTGAGTCTATTTAATATGATTTATTATAAGTTAAAAGTTAACAATTAAACAATAGAAATGAAAAGTATCATTCCTTAAACATTTAGAGATAATCAATTATTTTTTTAATTATTTAAATTATTTTTACTTAATAAATATGTTATCATAATTAATAATAATAGGAAACAATTCAAATAAATTGCATTAACCTCTTCTACATCTTGTTTGCTTGAAATTCATATTTGAACAACCAAAGAGAAAATATACTATGATAAAGTGAGCCATGACATAAGTCACTATTTAATGTCACCGGGTATTCTTGTTCACTAGTTTCTTAATAATTATTCATCAAACAACGGCAAGAAGTCATTTTTCAAGTATATCCAAGTAGGTGGTGAAACAAGATAGTAAAAGAAAAATCAATGGCATAAGTCATTTTTCAAATAGATATAAATTTGAAAATCCTATAAATCAATGCAAACCTTAAGCGCCTTTATTCAAAGCAAGTGTAGAAAACACAAGAAGTAAATCACTCAAAAGGGGAAAACAGAGAAAGGGAGGGAGAGAGAGCGAGCGACAGACACAGACAGAGACTGTGAAAGAGAGGTCGAGCAAGAGAGAGGGAGAGAGAAGCCTGCAATATGTGTACAAAGCATTATATATACACAGAGACACACATTAAACATCATGTTCAAAATTTTTAATCAATTACAGCCACATTTGAATGAACCCTACAGCAACAATGTCAGAAATAAGGGAAACACAGAAAGGGGGAGCCAGAAAGAGAGAAAGAGATAGAGAGAGAGATAGAGAGAGACAAAGCCAGACAGATAGATTGTGTGAGAGAGCGAGAGACGGACGCACAGATAGACTGAGAAGTAGAGCGTGAAAGCGAGAGAGAAGGAGAGAGAGAGAACCTATGATGTGCGGCTACGACGGTGGTGATTTGCGCCGGTGGCGGTGGCGATGGCCGTCGCAATGTCGCCCGTACAGTAGGCTACGGTGAGGGGGGCTGATTTCTATGAGATTTGGTGAGGTGTGTGTATGATACACTGTTGTGAAGTTGTGTGTGATCCACTGTTGCCTAGCAGATCAACACGCGCGCAGCAATAAAAGAGGTGGCACGCGTTGAAATTTCAACCTTTAGCGACTAATTTTATTCTTAGTCGGGAAAGGAATCAATTATGCCGACTATAATGCTTTGGTAGCCAAATATCACTCAACAACAACGAAAATATTAGTCGCGAAACATCCTCTTTCGCAAATAAGTCATATTTTAGTCAAGAAAAAGCAATATTACAGATTAGAAATTTTTTTTTAGCCTAAAATGTACACTAATGGACTAATATCCTATTTAGTCGCTAAAAAATTAAATTTTTGCAGACTAAATTGAAATTTAGTCGCCAATTATACATATTTATCGACTAAAATATTTTAGTAGCTACACATTGAACCAATGCCAACAAAATTAATTCTTAGTCGCCAAAAATTGTACTTTTGGCGACTAAAAATGTTTTAGTCGCCAAAGGTGCATTTTCTTGTAGTGGCTGCCAAGCCATAAATGCATATTGCTATCAGAAAAATCCCCATGCTCTTTGAGTGAGTTTGGAACAAAGAGTCATATCTATTTTGATACTCGATTTGAATGAAGCCAATCAGCAATGTAAGCCAAGCTATAAATATAGCATGGCATGCAACAACATGGGAGAAAGTGAATTCTCTTATTCTAGCAATAACAGGAATCAAAGATAAAAAATATGTATTAGAATCATCAAAGGATTTGAAAGAAGTACCATTTTAGTTTTTATTTATTTATTTTTAAATGTAAAACTAACTTTGTTCTCAATTGTAGAACTTTGGCTGGATTATTTAAGACGGTAGTCGAAAGCTGGAACTATTTAGGTAAGAGATTGAAAATTAAAAGATAAAATAATAAAAATGTTACACTGACCTTTTTCGGTGGATGAGGAATTATTGAATAATGAAATAACAACCGAACAATACATGAGTTAAACAATCAATTAAAAGTATTTTTAATTATCTCCAAGAAAAATGTTTCATCAAATTACCAAGTAAAATATGAAAAATTATTACAAGAGTACATAAGCTGTTGATTGAAAAATTAAAACAAAAAATAAACACTACATAAAAATAAAATAAAATAAAATAAAATAAACAATTGAACAAGTAAAACACACACAGCATAATGAGATGCAAAGAATACCTTAGTTTCTTTTTTCCGACTCCACTCATGCTATCAAAACTTTCAACTTCTAAGTAAACCTATATTATTCCAAATGAAAAAAACAATTATAAAAGCATTTACTATTGTTTTGGGCAAATTACATATACCTCCCTCGAGGTTTAGCTAAATTACAGATACCCCTGAGGTTTCGGAAATTACAGATAGCCCCCTGAGATTTATATTTTCATAACAAATTGCCCCATGAGGTTTATATTTTCATAACAATTTACCCCCTAATTTGTTATGCAAATAGTACCTTCAGGAGGGTATCTGTAATTTTTCGAACCTCAGGGGTATCTGTAATTTTGCTAAACCTCGAGGGGGGTATATGTAATTTTCCCTACTGTTTTTAAGTGTTGGAAGCTATTTACAATTCAGAACCAAAAAAATAGTGAACCTTAATCTAGACCAAGATAAACTAAAGCAAAGTATGCACATCCATAAGAAGAAAAACATGTCCAACAATGACAATGAAATAGAAAAATTACCCGGAGATTGAGGGGACATGTCTCTCGTCCCTCAATCCTTTGGAATGATAAGCAATGTGATGAAGAATGGCTTGGCCAGGTGACCAAATTGCTCTAGCCTGTGTGTATATACAAGAACCCCAAGTTACATCAATCTATCAGGCAACTAATTACAAATCAAGAATTAAAACAAACACACCAACATGCAAAAAAATGTTTCATCGATCTCTAAATTATGTTTTTGTTGGATATTCATCTCAGCTCTACTTGTTTCCATGAAAGTATTTTTATATGAAATTACCTTTCTAACTTGGAAAGAGTAAAAACACATTAGTAAATATCTAGAAGAATTAACACGAAAACACCAACATACAAAAAAAAGTTTCATCAATCTCTAAATTATATATTTTTTTTCTGTATACCTGACATGAAACACATTTTGATATGAAATTAACTTTCTAACTCATAAGGAGTAGAAAAGCATTGGTAATCCCTCCATTGGTAAAGCCATGGACTAATTTTATTATTACGATTATATATATATATATATATATAAAGCAAAATCCATTTCCAGCAAAACTTTTAATTCCCCCATGCGGTAAAGGATCTCAACCTATAAAATGATACCAAATAAATAAATACTTTAAAAAAAAACAACAAAAAAACTGGGTTTTCTTTTTTCCTGTAGAACCCTAACCCAATAGTTCTAAGTCTGGGGATTTTTTTTTGCTGTTGAGATCGTTCGACAAAGAGAATAGAGAGTGATTTGGTGACTGGAAATAACCTGAAAAAGCTTCGGATCTTTGATGACTGCTACTCTACTTTGCAGCGACTAATTTGCTTTTCCTTCACCCTTGTCTCCCTATGTATATGTGGCTAGGGCTTTTTGTTTAGGAGTCTCCGATTTATAGGATTTTATGGGTAAGAGAAGGGTAAATTACATTTTACACCTTTTAATTATACTTATTTATAAACTCATACATATTAATCTATTTAATTAGGGAGATGCACCAATAAATCTTAAATTAATAACTTATACACTGTTTAGTCTTAAAAATTTTCGTATAGACTGAAAGATCCCATTATAATATTTCAAACATCAGATTAATGTTTCGAACATTAGATTAATGTGCAAATGGGACTAAATGGAGCATAAAAAAACTTTTAGGACTAAATGGTTTAACTTTTCAGAAACTAGGACTTATGGGTAAATTTTCCATTTAATTATTATCGTATAAATATACTCTTTTTGAAAGTGGCTTGGAGGGGGTTTGCGAGAAATGAAAGTAATATATTTTCATAGTTGAAATGATCAAAATGTACGGATTTATAATTGAGTGGAGTAAAGTAATATTCTTAGTGTAAAACTTTTCACTTTTCACTCCTATAAATTGACTTAAATTTATTTTAAATTTCTATTGTTTCAATTTGAATAATTTGATTTATACATTTTTAAGTCCATCTTCAATTTGATATTTCTGTTAATTTTCCGTATGTGTACAACTTAGTCTATGTTCGGACTAAAATAAAAATTAGATCAAATTACAAAGTTGAAGTGTGATTTGATAAAAAGTTCTGAGAGAAGAGAACTAATATTAATGATAATTGGGGTTGATGCCCATTTTAATTCACTCTCTGTGTTCACATATATTTATATATTCTAAGAAAAGAATAAGCACATCGAAATCATCGATCTCTCACATTTTGTTGCTATTTTAGACTTAAAGTTGAAATGATCATTCATCAACTTCAGTTCATCACTCCTTGCAAATAACTCTAGCTAAAAATAAAATGATAATAATAATAATGATAAATCCATTCATTATGGAGTTTAGGTTTCTCTTTCATCTTTTCCAAGGAAATAGATGATTCTGATTCACTGACTTGTGCAATTAATCCTGGTTAAGAATATCAGCGTAACATGTTGATATAGTGATCTTGAATAGAATTGACTTAACCTATATTAAATCTCCCCTCTAGCACGACTTTAAGAGCACCATATGCATATTTCATCGTAAAATTTATAATTATATGCATGTTTATGTCGATACTTCCAGCTATATCAGAACAAAATGAAAGGTGAGTTAGTTATAGTATATATGATTCTCTATAGTTAAATCTCTATATCTTATAGTATCTATATGGTTGCAAATTAGTAAAAGTTTTAATACTCTAATGGTCATGAGTATAGGGATAGCAAAATAAAAATATTCTTAGTCTAATTCTAGTGATTTGAGGACAGAGCCACCACCATTGTGTTTGAGTCTGCTTATTACAATTTATTATAAGTTAAAAGTTAATAATTAAACAATAGAAATGAAAAGTATCATTCCTTAAACATTTAGAGATAATCAATTATTTTTTTAATTATTTAAATTATTTTTACTTAATAAATATGTTATCATAATTAATAATAATAAGAAACAATTCAAATAAATTGCATTAACCTCTTCTATATCTTGTTTGCTTGAAATTCATATTTGAACAACCAAAGAGAAAATATACTATGATAATGTGAGCCATGACATAAGTCACTATTTAATGTCACCGGGTATTCTTGTTCACTAGTTTCTTAATAATTATTCATCAAACAATGGCAAGAAGTCATTTTTCAAGTATATCCAAGTAGGTGGTGAAACAAGATAGTAAAAGAAAAATCAATGGCATAAGTCATTTTTCAAATAGATATAAATTTGAAAATCCTATAAATCAATGCAAACTTTAAGCACCTTTATTCAAAGCAAGTGTAGAAAACACAAGAAGTAAATCACTCAAAAGGGGAAAGCAGAGAAAGGGAGGGAGAGAGAGAGAGCGACAGACACAGACAGAGACTGTGAAAGAGAGGTCGTGCAAGAGAGAGGGAGAGAGAAGCCTGCAATACGTGTACAAAGCATTATATATACACAGAGACACATTAAACATCATGTTCAAAATTTTTAATCAATTACAGCCACATTTGAATGAACCCTACAGCAACAATGTCAGAAATGAGGGAAACACAGAAAGGGGGAGCCAGAAAGAGAGAGAGAGATAGAGAGAGACAGACAAATAGATTGTGTGAGAAAGCGAGAGACGGACGCACAAATAGACTGAGAAGCAGAGCGTGAAAGCGAGAGAGAAAGAGAGAGAGAGAACTTGTGATGTGCGGCTGCGACAGTGGTGATTTGGGCCGGTGGCGGTGGCGGTGGCCGTGGCTGTCGCAATGTCGCCCGTACAGTAGGCTACGGTGAAGGGGGCTGATTTCTATGAGATTTGGTGAGGTGTGTGTATGATACACTGTTGTGAAGTTGTGTGTGATCCACTGTTGCCTAGCAGATCAACACGCGCGCAGCAATAAAAGAAGTGGCACGCGTTGAAATTTCAACCTTTAGCGACTAATTTTATTCTTAGTCGGGAAAGGAATCAATTATGCCGACTATAATGCTTTGGTAGCCAAATATCACTCAACAGCAACGAAAATATTAGTCGTGAAACATCCTCTTTCGCAACTAAGTTATATTTTAGTCAAGAAAAAGCAATATTACAGATTAAATTTTTTTTTTAGCCTAAAATGTACACTAACGGCGACAAATATCCTATTTAGTCGCTAAAAAATTAAATTTTTGCCGACTAAATTGACATTTAGTCGCCAATTATACATATTTATCGACTAAAATATTTTAGTAGCTACACGTTGAACCAATGCCGACAAAATTAATTCTTAGTCGCCAAAAATACAATTTTTGGCGACTAAAAATGTTTTAGTCACCAAAGGTGCATTTTCTTGTAGTGGTTGCCAAGCCATAAATGCATATTGCTATCAGAAAAATCCCCATGCTCTTCGAGTGAGTTTGGAACAAAGAGTCATATCTATTTTGATACTCGATTTGAATGAAGCCAATCAGAAATGTAAGCCAAGCTATAAATATAGCATGGCATGCAACAACATGGGAGAAAGTGAATTCTCTTATTCTAGCAATAACAGGAATCAAAGATAAAAAATATGTATTAGAATCATCAAAGGATTTGAAAGAAGTAACCATTTTAGTTTTTATTTATTTATTTTTAAATGTAAAACTAATTTTGTTCTCAATTGTAGAACTTTGGCTGGATTATTTAAGACGGTAGTCGAAAGCTGGAACTATTTAGGTAAGAGATTGAAAATTAAAAGATAAAATAATAAAAATGTTACACTGACCTTTTTCAGTGAATGAGGAATTATTGAATAATGAAATAACAACCGAACAATACATAAGTTAAACAATCAATTAAAAGCATTTTTAATTATCTCCAAGAAAAATGTTTCATCAAATTACTAAGTAAAATATGAAAAATTATTACAAGAGTTCATAAGTTGTTGATTGAAAAATTAAAACAAAAAATAAACACTACATAAAAATAAAATAAAATAAAATAAACAATTGAATAAGTAAAAAACACACAGCATAATGAGATGCAAAGAATACCTTAGTTTCTTTTTTCCGACTCCACTCATGCCATCAAAACTTTCAACTTCTAAGTAAACCTATATTATTCCAAATGAAAAAAACAATTATAAAAGCATTTACTATTGTTTTGGGTAAATTACATATACCTCTCTCGAGGTTTAGCTAAATTACAGATACCCCTGAGGTTTCGGAAATTACAGATAGCCCCCTGAGGTTTATATTTTCATAACAAATTGCCCCCTGAGGTTTATATTTTCATAACAATTTACCCCCTAATTTGTTATGCAAATAGTACCTTCAGGGGTATTTGTAATTTCTCGAACCTCAAGGGGGTATCTGTAATTTTGCTAAACCTCGAGGGAGTATATGTAATTTTCCCTATTGTTTTTAAGTGTTGGAAGCTATTTACAATTCAGAACCAAAAAAATAGTGAACCTTAATCTAGACCAAGATAAACTAAAGCAAAGTATGTACATCCATAAGAAGAAAAACATGTCCAACAATGACAATGAAGTAGAAAAATTACCCGGAGATTGAGGGGACATGTCTCTCGTCCCTATTGAGTCCCAATCCTTTGAAATGATAAGCAATGTGATGAAGAATGGCTTAGCCAGGTGACCAAATTGCTCTAGTCTCTGTGTATATACAAGAACCCCAAGTTACATCAATCTATCAGGCAACTAATTACAAATCAAGAATTAAAACAAACACACCAACATGCAAAAAAATGTTTCATCAATCTCTAAATTATGTTTTTGTTAGATATTCATCTCAACTCTACTTGTTTCCATGAAAAGTATTTTTATATGAAATTACCTTTCTAACTTGGAAAGAGTAAAAACACATTGGTAAATATGTAGAAGAATTAACACGAACACACCAACATACAAAAAAATGTTTCATCAATCTCTAAATTATGTTTTTGTTAGATATTCATCTCAACTCTACTTGTTTCCATGAAAAGTATTTTTATATGAAATTACCTTTCTAACTTGGAAAGAGTAAAAACACATTGGTAAATATGTAGAAGAATTAACACGAACACACCAACATACAAAAAAATGTTTCATCAATCTCTAAATTATGTTTTTGTTAGATATTCATCTCAACTCTACTTGTTTCCATGAAAAGTATTTTTATATGAAATTACCTTTCTAACTTGGAAAGAGTAAAAACACATTGGTAAATATGTAGAAGAATTAACACGAACACACCAACATACAAAAAAATGTTTCATCAATCTCTAAATTATGTTTTTGTTAGATATTCATCTCAACTCTACTTGTTTCCATGAAAAGTATTTTTATATGAAATTACCTTTCTAACTTGGAAAGAGTAAAAACACATTGGTAAATATGTAGAAGAATTAACACGAACACACCAACATACAAAAAAATGTTTCATCAATCTCTAAATTATGTTTTTGTTAGATATTCATCTCAACTCTACTTGTTTCCATGAAAAGTATTTTTATATGAAATTACCTTTCTAACTTGGAAAGAGTAAAAACACATTGGTAAATATGTAGAAGAATTAACACGAACACACCAACATACAAAAAAATGTTTCATCAATCTCTAAATTATGTTTTTGTTAGATATTCATCTCAACTCTACTTGTTTCCATGAAAAGTATTTTTATATGAAATTACCTTTCTAACTTGGAAAGAGTAAAAACACATTGGTAAATATGTAGAAGAATTAACACGAACACACCAACATACAAAAAAATGTTTCATCAATCTCTATAAATCATGTTTTTGTTGGATATTCATCTCAGCTCTACTTGTTTCCATGAAAAGTATTTTTATATGAAATTACCTTTCTAACTTGGAAAGAGTAAAAACACATTGGTAAATATCTAGAAGAATTAACACGAAAACACCAACATACAAAAAAAAGTTTCATCAATCTCTAAATTATATTTTTTTTTCTGTATACCTGAGATGAAACACATTTTGATATGAAATTAACTTTCTAACTCATAAGGAGTAGAAAAGCATTGGTAATCCCTCCATTGGTAAAGCCATGGACTAATTTTATTATTACGATTATATATATATATATATATATAAAGCAAAATCCATTTCCAGCAAAACTTTTAATTCCCCCATGCGGTAAAGGATCTCAACCTATAAAATGATACCAAATAAATAAATACTTTAAAAAAAAACAAACAAAAAAAACTGGGTTTTCTTTTTTCCTGTAGAACCCTAACCCAATAGTTCTAAACCTGGGGATTTTTTTTTGCTGTTGAGATCGTTCGACAAAGAGAATAGAGAGTGGTTTGGTGACTGGAAATAACCTGAAAAAGCTTCGGATCTTTGATGACTGCTGCTCTACTTTGCAGCGACTAATTTGCTTTTCCTTCACCCTTGTCTCCCTATGTATGAGGCTAGGGCTTTTTGTTTAGGAGTCTCCGATTTATAGGATTTTATGGGTAAGAGAAGGGTAAATTACATTTTTTTAATTATACTTATTTATAAACTCATACACATTAATCTATTTAATTATTATCCTATAAATATACTCTTTTTGAAAGTGGCTTGGAGGGGGTTTGCGAGAAATGAAAGTGATATATTTTTATAATTGAAATGATTAAAATGTACGGATTTATAATTGAGTGGAGTAAAGTAATATTCTTAGTGTAAAACTTTTCACTTTTCACTCCTATAAATTGACTTAAATTTATTTTAAATTTCTATTGTTTCAATTTGAATAATTTGATTTATACATTTTTAAGTCCATCTTCAATTTGACATTTCTGTTAATTTTCCGTATGTGTACAACTTAGTCTACGTTTGGATCATTTTCTTCATTTTCCGTCATATTTTCAAATGCATAATCCAAACATAGCATTGCAAGATTGAAAAATGTCTTAAAATCATTAATTTCAACTTTTAACTTGAACAAAATGACCAAATTAAAATTAGACTTAAAGTGTAGAAACCAAACTATTTAACTTGAAATAATTCGGACTAAAATAAAAATTAGATCAAATTACAAAGTTGAAGTGTGATTTGATAAAAAGTTCAGAATTTTTGCAATATAGGTAAGCCATTTTAATTCTTGACTCAATTTTATATTAAATTTAAAATTTAGTAAAAATTATACCAAAATACTTTTCCTTCTCGACTCAAATTTATATTAAATTAAATTTATTTAAACTTTTACCCAAACTAAATAAAACTAAAATATTTATTCAAAATTTTCAAAGTCGTAAATTTAAGTTTAAATTTGAGTTTATTTATTGAAATAAGTCATATCAAATAAAAGATTGGTGGGGCAGTCCCCAATCTGATTGAATGTCTCCCAGTAGCGACTGTTGTAAGATCTCAGGGTCTCCTTATCACCCATGTCGATGGAGAGTAGCTGGTCGATCTCCACCGGAGTTTTAGTATTTGTCCAAAATCTTGTCACGAAGGCTTCTGCCAATTGTACCCAAGAGGCTATGCTGCCTTCTGGGAGTTTTTCGAACCAAGTCAAGCCTAGGTCGCCAAGGCTTGATGGGAAGAGTATACACATTAAGGCCTCGTTTCGCCTGTAAACGGCCATGACCTGGCGAAAGTGACTTAAGTGTGAGTACGGGTCCGTCTTCCCTTCATATGTAGTGAATTTCGGCTGAAGGAAGCCTGATGGTAGGGGCGCGTTCTCGATTGCTGGAACAAACGGCGAAGTTTGTAGTCTTGCCAATGTTTTGTCCGTTGGTTCGTAGGCTGGGCGCGGTATTGGCATTCCAACCTCGACGCTTCCATGCGTCCGAGGAGCCAACCGCTGTAAGGCAGAAACTCTGTGTGGATCCCTTGCCCTGGCATCCTCCTTACATCGTGCTTTCTCTTCGAGCACGGTTCGTAAGTCGGATGATCTGGGTAATTCTGTCTGTCTAGATTTGGTTTGGTGTGAATGTGAGGGCCAATATGTGCTTCCTTCAGTGTATGACCTTTCAGATCTCGTCCTCTCAGACCTGGAGTGACGAGTTCTGGAAGACCAGGATTGAGTGTCGCCTGTCGACCTAGAGTGACGAGTTCTGGAAGACAAGGATTGAGTGTCGCCTGTCCTGAGGCTTCTGCTTTCTCCTTGTGAGGGTGTAGTATTCCTACTGCGATTTTCTGAGTGGCGAGGGGGCGTTTTGTTTTTGCGCCCCTCTCCTGTCGTCACTTCTTTTTTCTTCATCTGGCGTTTCAAGGCCTCCATGTTCGCCGCCATCCTTCTTATCAATTCATCTTGCTCTTTCACACGATCATCCAGGGCTTGAGGGTCAATCCTTCGTCTTTGCCGGTCGGGACTCTGAGAGTGACGAGGACTGTTATTCCGCCTTCCCCTGCCACCCCTCCTGGAGTTATGTTGTTGGGGCTCCAAATCCGCCATAGGAGGGACAGAGGGTAATCCTTCTCGTCTTGCGCCCCCGTCTGGAGTTAGCCTGTCGACGGCGGACTGTGGTAGTTCTTCAATGTGTGCCATTGATTGAGAAAATGAGAAGTTTAGTCAAGAGGTTTTTGTTCTTGTCTGTTCTTCCCACAGACGGCGCCAATTGTACGGGGAGGAAATAATTCTCCTCGTATAATCCTGTTGACCAAGTCCACGCTCCTCCGTACGACGTCGCTTTATCACCTGAAAACACAAACGTGAGCTAGCCGGCGGGTGTGTGCCGGAAACCTGTCTGATGCCTAAGTCAGTAAGCTTGACAAATAGACAAAGTTCTATGTTCTCAGAAAGCAAATTTGTATTGTGTTCTGTTACCTCCTCCAAGGTGATGCTTGTGAGCTTTTATAGGTTTCGAGTGGCCCAATTCTAATAGGACTTTTATTCCTCCATGCAGAATCCTCCTAGGATTCATACTCCTAAGGATAATGCTTATCCTTTTACACCCTCCCCCACTGCTTAAACCAAGTGGGATGGTTTTTACTTTGGCCGAACTACTATATGATCGAAATAAGCTTGGCTATGCAGAGCCACTGAGTAAACCGAACTATTCTTAGTTCGGTTCCACTTTTAACTCTATCCTTATCTTAGTTTTCCCATGTACAACCAATGGTACGGTCTTAGACCAAACCAATGACTTTCGGCCGGTATAACTCCAAGACCGGCATAACTCTAAATCGTTCCCGGACCGAAGTATCTTAATAATTCCTGAGCCGAAGTAATTTTACCTCCCTGGCCGGAGTAACTTTGTTTCTCCTAGGCCGGAGTAACCTTGCCTCTCCTGGGCCACAAAGCCCAACTCGCAGCTCGGCCCAATTTTTCCCAAAAAATTACCCTCTCAGTAAATATATTATTTATTATCATTACGGCCTTTTTACTTAGTCTTGTTTGTTTGCCAGGAAATCTTGAGAGAAAAATTCGTAACTTTTAGATCTTGATGCTACACTTACCACCTTTTTATACCACTTTTAGTGTACCATCTCATGTGTCAGCACCTCATTGGTGTAATGGGTCCTGCCACTCATGTCTATCTCCAATGCAGGTGCTAACACATAAGGTGGTACACTAAAGATGGTATAAAATGTTTTAAGGGTAGCATTACTCTTAAAATTTTCTTTATTATCCAAAAATTTTCTTAAATAGTTTTATTTTATTTTGATAAATATATTATTTATTGTTTGATTTTCCTTTGCCTTTTTTGGTTTGTTTTTTTGCCAAGATATCTTCATAAAAGAATTCATAAGTTTTGGATCTCAGTGCTTGGGATTAGTAAAAATGACTTCTCGTTCTTGTAGTCTCCATTGAGACTATGCTTTTCTCTAAGATTTCTTTGCAATCAAAATTATAGCCTTAGTTTCTAAATAAATTTCCCATATTTTGTTTTGTATTATGATTTTATTTGTTTTGTTTTTTTTTTAGTTTTAAATGATAGTATTGAAATTTATGTAGGCACATTTTTCTCTCTTTTTCCTTAATTATATGACAAATGAACTGTTGCAAATTTATCAGTAATGTGGTTGCATGTGCTTCAGTTTATTGTAGTAAATAAATTATTAGATGCTATCAGTTGAAGTTTCTAGCATATTTTTGTTGTTTTATTTTATTTTTTTAAAATTTTTCCCATCAACTTTTTTTGTTTAACTGTTTCTTGAATTCTTCTTTCCTTTTTTTGGTTTTTTTATCTTTTGCTAACCACATGTTTCGTTGTTTCAAAGTAAGGTATTCGTGCATAGTTGTGTATGAGAAATGTCTCATCCCAAATTTCTCTTAGGCGAATGATTAAAGGTAACCATAGAGGAGAAATTCTCTTAGGTGATCATATAGGAGATATTATATAAAATTTTCTTACCTTTCATTATTTTTTGAAAACCAAACAAAACCCAAAGTAATTGTTACTAACAAGTTGTGATGAAATGTATATGTCCATTGTTACTATTAGGTTGTTACTGCCAATGATGTCATGATAATGCTAGCTGTTTGGTAGACCCAACTTAATGATGGCCGCACATGAGATTGCACAAGACCACTTCGATTATGAGTCGGGGGATGCGAACATAGTAGCTTTCTTTGTACCATCTTGATTCAAATATCCCAACAACAAATTAGTTGTGGAGAAATTGTGTTGCAAGTTTGTTGACAAGGATTGAGGCAAGTTTCATTAAACAGCTGCAATCAGTGATGGTTGTTGTGAATTTACAGTAGATTACTGCCTTCGACAAAGTTGAAACTTTTATTGTTGTTTGTTAATAATTTTTGGTGGTATTAATCTATTGAGAGCCATGAATTAGTAACCCAATTGTTAATGCAACCTGTGCGATTGTTCCTAAACCATGGGTCTCCAATTAATGCCTATGTTTGGTTATATTTGGGTGGTAGTGGACTGCTAAAGGAAAAGTTCTTGCAACTTTTTTCTTTCTCTCTCTCTGCGCTCAAATAAATTGTGCACAATTTTAGTTTGGGTATCATTTTAGTTTTCCCTTATTTTGAAGTTGTCCCTTAGCAACGATGCTTTTATTTTTAATTTTTGTGTTGATATGAAGTTTACACTTTAGAGTCATAAAGTTTGTTAATAATACCAAAATGTTTATGATCGAGTTACTAGCCGTACTTTAAATAGCTGATTAGGAAATGTTTATTTTTAAAATATACAATTAAACATATTTTCAAGTTTTTTAAAAAATATATATATATTTTTTCAAAATTAACCAGACCTTGATTCATATTTTGACTTCAAATTTTTAGCAACAAATTGGATAAATTATATTTTAACCCAACAATTTTATATTTAATTATATTTTGATTTCATCATTATTTGCACCGTGCCTTTAGGCACGGGCATCTGCTAGTGATATTACATTCCACTAATCACAAATATATATGTCCCACATTTCATTACCTTCCACCAATCACAATAGTAAAAGGATATGCCACATATAAAGAGATGAAGTTAACTTTTAAACTTTTAACATTTTTAATGACTATTTTACGTTTGATTTAAATTATACATATCATTATT